GGGGATCCGACTTATGGCGGATCCATACTTACGAACGGGGCTTTTCTCGCCCCGGAGGATGTGGGTGGCGGGACCGCCCAGACGTGCCGTGGTCCCACCGCCCGCGTCCTCTGTGGCTTTGCTCCACATCTCCCTGGTCTGCTGGGGGCCCCTCCCCCCAGCAGACCAGGGAGCCGCGGAGCCGCTTTTCTCGCCCCGGAGGACGCGGGCGGCGAGACCGCAGCGCGTCTGGGCGGTCCTGTTGCCCGCGTCCTCCGGGGAGAGAAAAGCCCCGTTCGTAAGTACGGATCCGACATAAGTCCGATCCGCGTAACTCGGGGATTGCCTGTACTAGCACTTCCAGTCAGAACTCAACAACTTTTCCCATGGAGTACCGGCACTTTTTTTTTTTTTAAACAAAAAAAGCACGGGTTATATCAAGTGCTGGTAAAAGCTCTGGCTCAGTTTCCATTATTTTCCTGACTTTCTTCATTATTGGAATCACCTAAACTGTAGTTACTCACTTGGATAGAAATCACGAACTCAGAGCCTGACACTGTTAGAAGTATCAGCAATAAGGTATCAGAAATAGCTGCAGAAGTGAAGTATTGGTGACTCAATGTACTAATTAATACCTATTACTTATCAAGAGTAACTACTTTCTAGCCTAACCTCATACAATCTAACAGGCAAAGTTGAAGCCAAATGCTCGAATTTAAGAGAGCTCTGCATCTAAGACTCCAGCCTATATCCGCATAGCCACAAAGGTACCACAATCCTGAGCATATGGGTTGCCTAAAAAGAGCAGTGAGAATGATGCATTCAAAGCCAAGCACTTAATATTGTCCTCAATTCCCTCATATCCAGATGGATGTGGCAGCAATGAAAATCACATTTTTAGAACTTGTGTGGCAAATTACCAAATGCTGGCATTCATATCTAATTTTTTCATTACTGTGGAGAGGCTGTGATTCTGTGCAGAAACAAAACTGTCATTCTGCCTTGCTGAAAAACTATACCAAGGTACTAGAAAAACTGTACTAAGGTACAGGTGGTACCTCCCTTAACCAGGACTCCCTCTTCCGGCAACATCCAATCCATCTCTTGTGCACAGGGCAGCTATAAGTTGTTTGCCTTGCTGAAACAACTTCATGAGCTGACAAGTACATTGCTGAAAGCCCTATTGGCTCCCTGAAGAGGAAGGGGATTTGATGGAGTGGAATCACACCAGCAAATTGGTAGAGTTGCACTTACAGGAATCATAAGAACATAAGAAGGGCCACACTGGGTCAGACCAAAGGTCCATCTAGCCTAGTATCCTGTCTTCCAACAGTGGTCAATGCGAGGTGTCCCAGAGGGAGTGAACAGAACAGGGAATCATCACAGGATTCCTCTCATACCAACCATTTCAAGCCTCTGACAAACTGAGGCTAGAGGCACCATTCCTACCCATCCTGGCTAACAGCCATTGATGGACCTAATCTCCATGAATTTATCTAGCTCTTTTTTGAATCCTGTTAAAGTCCTGATCTTCTCAACATCCTCTAGCATGGAGTTCCACAGGTTGACCATGCGCTGCATGAAGAAAAACTTCCTTTTGTTTGTTTTAAATCTGCAACCTGTTAATTTCATTTGATGACCCCTCATTCCTAAGCTATGGGAACAAGTAAATACTTTTTCCTTATTCACTTTTTCCACACCAGTCATGTGTTTAAAGACCTTTATCATATCCCCCCCTTAGTCTCCTCTTTTCTAAGATGAAAAGTCCCAGTCTTTTGAATCTCTCTTCATATGGGACCCTTTCCAAACACCTAATAATTTTTGTTGCCCTTTTCTGAACCTTTTCTAATGCTAATATATTTTTTGAGATGAGGCAACCACATCTGTACGCAGTATTCAAGATGTGGGCGTACGATGGTTTTACATAGAGGCAATAAGATATTCTCTGTCTTATTTTCTATCTCTTTTTTTCAAAGATGCACCAGGAGCCTATTCCTAGTATAGCGATGGGAAACCTAGGCTAGTGAGTGGGCCACATGAGTGGCTCTTCTTCATCTTAATGGGCTGCACAATTGTGGTAAACAAGACTGTCTTCTGCGATAGGGTAGTTTTTGTACCTAGAATTTTCAGGGTGTGCCGAATGAAATGTAGCTGTACTTTGATCGGATGCAGAGGGAGTGCATGGCTCTTACAGGCAATGTTGTGTGTAATCAGCACACACCTCACATTACATGCCCTTGCTTTACATGCATGTCACTTTAGTAATATTGGTAGGAAAATACTACACAAATGGAAACCAGTGGAATCTGGCAACCCTCAGTATGGACAATGGTAAACAAAATGTCTCTCTGGCCACACATAGAGCCCTAATGGGCCACAGGTTGCCCACCATTGTCCTAGTAGGTTCCCACTAGTGATAGCATGCTACTTTTCCCATCAAGCAGTGCCATTTAAGGGGTGCATCACCAATATAATTATTAATCACATTTATTATTGTAGAGCTTCAGGGCCAATCAAGAACACAGTCCCAGTTTTCTAGTCACTGTACAAACACAGCTCAACTTTCCTATTGTGTATAATTTTACTATCTGTACAATATGAGGAGTCAGATAATGTACTTTCAATATGTAATTTAAGCTTACCTCCCAACTTAACCAGGGCCAAACCTTTTTGCAATACCCTTTGAAAAATAGTAAATTGTTCATTTCTACTTTGAATAATGCAGCAGGTAGTTTTACCCAGAAAACAGAAGCTGTAGCCATGGTAATGTGAGTATACTAACTAGAAAAGTGTTAAGTGGTTCAGGAAAGATCTAAAAAAGAAGATGGAAAAGTTTAATATACCACATTGCATTCTGTGGACTGTGCAGAAGGAGGAGCTGTAGAGTTTTGTCCCACATCTTTTGGAGGCATCTTTGGAGTGTCTGGAGAAAGGCCAGGTGGATGTTCTTGGATTTCAGGCTCTGCTTTATTGTCAAGGAGGGGAGCTATCTGAATGGAAAGAGATGCTGTGTGTATCTCAGGCACAGGGTTACAGGTAGGTGAGACAGGCCTTTGTGGAAATACTGGCACTTCATTAGGCTTGGGCTGTTGCTGTGAATTACTAGGAATATTATGTAGTGGGTCTTGTGTCCGAGTTAATTTCAGGGTAGACACTCTGCGTTTTTGAGATGATTCTCTGTGGCCTTGATGAAGAGTAGCACTAATGCCAGCTACTACTTTTGTGCCCGCGCTGGAGACCATGGCAGGTGGTTTAGTGATTGTTTGTGCATAGGACACACTTGTGTTAGATTTTTTAGAATACATTGTACTCTGGATAGCCTCCTTATTAGTATAATGGACACTATCTGAGGGGAGTTTTTTAGTTGGCTTGGTTGTTATTGACTGGAAATTAATTTCATTGTTCTTGGGATTGGTTATTCCTGATCTACAAAAACTTTCTTTTCTAGTGGGTGGCAGGGGTGCCTTATTTGCCAAAAGCATCCACACACAGCAAAACAACATTGAAGGAGAAACAGAGAGAAAGTAAATGTTAGCAGGAAAAGTAACTTGAGTTAGACCTGTAACTTTAAACAAAAGAACCAGGGCCTGATCCAAATTCTATGCAATACAATGGAAAGACTTTGGATCAGGTACTGCATTGTCCCTGATAATAGCATTGTATTTTGATGTCTAGAAAAACCACAGATTCCATTTGTTATTGGAAAAAGTGAAAATTGTGATCAAAACTGAGTCCACTGTATCAAATATACTCTATGCACTGACATTAGTTTGAAAATTATATTTTTTTACAGAGATTTAAATAGTTCATATAATATACTCAACATATAATTTTAGCTGAAAAGCTACTATTTATGAGTAACATATGTATTACTTTCAAACTCTCACACTTTTAAAGGTTTTGGATTAAAGTAGTAATGTGAATATTCTTACAAATATGTTTCTAAATTAAGCCATATTATTTCATGGCATTTTCTATAATTGTTATATAGTTTAGCAATGTCGGAGAAAAACAGTAGTTCTGGTTATTCTTAAATTAATGTAATTCAACTTTATAACCAATTCTTTATTTCATAAAGAATATATTGCTTTGCAGTGTAAAATACTAATCTATACCCTTTGGAGTCCAAATACTTAAGGCTTTTGATTTAATCTGGCCTATTGTTATTTGCATATAGCCTTGCTCTTAGAAAATAGTTGGCTGTGTTACTGAACCAGTAGACTTGTATTCTGTATAGTGTATGTTTATGTGTACCACAAATCAGATATTACAACATATAACAGATACAGATGCTACCAGCAAAACATCTGGATAATGCACCATACAACATCACACCAGCATGTAATGCACCTCTAAGCTAACACTTATATTTAATATCAAGGATGCAACTTTGTGTGTGAAGGTTTACCTGAGTTGGTGACTTTTTTTCTTGTAGGTTTGGTCGGACACTTCTAAAGCCTTTAGCTGCAAGAGATGAACTACTTGTGTCTCCATTCAATGTCTCTCTGCTTCCATCATTATAAGATGCCCAAGCTTTTGTGAGGGAAAAAATCAAAACAAAATTTTGGTAAACAATCCCTAAGTATTTAGGTTAGTATAATAAATCTATTTAACAAATGGTTGAAATTACAGCTTTCTAGAATTACTACTGTCAACAATATGTACAGCTAAATGAGAATTAAATGGATAACCCTGAAGCTATAACCTCTCAAGCTGTGATTTTGTCAGCTAGATCAGATGCATCATTATTACTTTGCTTATATTTTGATAGCTCCCACAATATTTGTGGATTCATAAACACATAGATTTTAAGGTCAGAAGGGACCTTTGTGACTTTCTAGTCTGACCTACTGCATACATCAGGCCATAGGACTTCCAGACATTCTTGCTTCAAGTCCAATAGCTTTGGTCAAACTATAATTTCTCAGAAAAAAAATCATCTATATTTCAAGTGTTCCAGTGATGGAGTATCCACCACAATTGTGGTCAATTATTCCAACAGCCTTTTTTATTTCTAGTCTGAATTTGTCTCCCAACTTGTAGTCATTGGATCCTATTATACTTATACCTTTTAGTTTCAAGAGGCCTCTATTGTCAGATTTCTGTTCTTTGTAATCTAGTCATTGTCCACATAGAAATGCATTCCTTACCTGAATATCTTATAGACTGGAAGATTAGACAATGGATGGAGGAAAGGGATACAGAAGCAAACAGGGTTCTTAGGGAAATGATTGGGATATGTATTTGCTGTACTCAGAAATCTTCAGTCTCATTGAAATGCCTGAAGGTGAATCAGTATATTGTATCCTTCTATCTGAGTCAGCTTTTAGCCAACACTCCTATATTACACAGCTGTGCTGCAGGAAATGCTGTTTTTTGGATGAGACCTAGATTTGAGATTTTAATCACTGGTAATTATTAAAGATTCATTGGCACTTTCTCTAAGGATGTGTGTACACTTGCACCCTAGTTCTAACTAGTTCTAACTAGGGATGCAAATGTAGGCATTCGAAACAGTCAATGAAGCGGGGATTTAAATATCCCGCGCTTCATTAGTTTGATCTTGCTGGCGTGTTACTACGATCAACAGCTGTTTCGAAAGTGAAAGTGCGTGCAGGGATATGTTAGTTCGAACCAAACCCCTTGGTTCAAACTAATGTTACTCCTCAAAAAATGAGCGTGCTCTTTCACTTTCGAAAGAGCTGTTGATCGGAGTAACGCGCCGGCGAGATCATGCTAATGGAGCGCAGGATATTTAAAGGATATTTAAATCCCCACTTCATTGACTGTTTCGAATGCCTACATTTGCATCCCTAGTTAGAACTATGGTGCAAGTGTAGACATACCCTAAGAATAGGCACTAGATGCAGTATTCTGGCTAAATTCCTCCCTGTATTTGTTCACCATAAAATTTCAGTTTGATAAGATGTGCAGTGTTGTGATGCATTCTTAAATCATTTCTGCATTTCAGGCTAGAGGTGGCTGCACTTACGGTGAGCATTCGGTATTATGTGTCCCATAGAGACAGGAGCAAAACAGATTGTATGGCAGATACGATATCGACTAATCGTTGGACAAAATTGCCCTGGAAGCCTACACATCACTTCAGACTGAGGTTTTAGGTACAGGTTTCACACTGAGATAGTTTGCAAAAATCAGTAAGGTTCATACAGTGCACTGGGATCCATTTGGATGTATGATGCTATAAATGGAAGACGGCTATAATTCATACATGGACAATACTAGTACATTTATACATAAATAAAATGATATTTTATTTACCTGAATCTGGAGACTGAGAATCAGGTCCTAAAAAAGAAATAACCATATCAGTGTGTGCTGGAAATTAAAATACTACAGGTAATTGTGTCAGTGTTTTTGGTGATGGAACAGCACGCTGCATGTGACGCTGGGCCTGGCTCTGCATCCCCTGCACACTCAGACCACACACTGACTTTGGGATGATTTTAAGATGTGCAAGGACTGGAGGACTAGGTTCACAATATACTTTGATAAGAATTTTTTTTAAAGACAGCAATTTAGATTAAATTGTAGTCAGGTGGGTGATATTTTGATTGATGTGTGTAGTGCCAAATTTTGTACCCATTTAAACACACACTGACTCAGTTAAGTCACTAGGGTAAATAGGTGTAACATGGTCAGAATTTGATAAATACCTTCTTTCCAAGTTAAGCTTTTTTTCTTAATAATAAAAATCACTGTTCCTAACAATCTTTAATCAATCTGAGTACTGGGCTAATTAAATAAAGGTATCTGAGAGAATCTAATAGAAACTCAAGGATAATTGAGGTGGTGCTTTTTAAAGTCTGCAGCAGTTGCTGCTGCTACTTAAGACAATTTAGCCATAAGGTCACACACTCCATGAACCTCCACAGCCAAATTAGTCTCTTAACAGACAAATTGATTTTAATCTATATATCATCATCATCGTTCTTTTTTCCACAACTTTAATTGCCTATGCTCTGGTATGCAAGGATATTTTCTAAACGAATCACCACTGCGTTTTCTTTGTATTGAATTAAAGATAATTTCATAGACTATTTAAAAGAAGCTGATGTAATTGTGCCTGTAGAAATTAATCTAATTTAAGGAAGCTCAATGGCAATTGTTATAGTCTCAAAAGAGGCAGTTTTCCATTTTGCAGAAAAAACTTAGTTTCTTATAAATTTTCTCTGATGTACAGTTTGAAAAATGCTATAAAATATGTACTATTTTATTGAAATGACATATTCACAACTTGCCCTCTGTTACCTATATATGCACTTCTGAATATTGCCCTGTAAGTAACCAATGTTTATTGCTCAATTAAATTACATTTTATCAAGGGTTATATTGTACAGTGACAATTATTACATTGTGATTGTTTAAAAAACACTGTTATATCAAACAGGGAATACAATAAACAATACTGTTGCTTGGTTTTCCATATTTCTCTATATTGTCTTCTTAAATCTAGATACTAGAAGAAATTACAGTGCTTTAAGAGATCATGGAGAGGCTTCATTCAAAAACAAGGAGGCCATACATGGGTGATGTGAGATTTTTGAATGGTGCCAAAACGTAGGATATGACAAGACTCCTTTAGAATATTTGGCAGACTCAAAGATAAAAACATAAATATCTTCAGTATATTTGCATGGGATCTGTTTGGGTGTGTCATTATTAGATGGACTAAAGGTGTACTAATTTGAAAAGTGTTATGCACATTTATGGAATTCTTTTTCCTTTTGAAAAAATTTGTAAAGACGATTCATGAGTGACAATCCAATCCAGTAGGTTAATAATCCACTAAATAAAATTATCTAAATAAATACTGGCACTATGGACCATCACTACCTTTATGAACTACTAAGTATAATAAATAAAACATTTTAAAAGTCTCAGTTTGCATTTTTACATGATAAACCATGCTGGCTTTGCAAGAGGTGGTTTGGAATAATATGTATTTTCTAAAGTCAATAATGTACACACACAAAATAACCCCCTAAAAGCACAGTTCTACTATCCTTACTCACATTGACTACCATGTTATTATGCAAGTAGTCCCACTCATTTCAATTAGATTCCTGTTTTTATGGAGTAGATTCTCACATCTGAAGAATCCATATGACATTTACAAAAATAAACTTTTCCGATTTCATATTTATTTTTAAGCTAGTCCACAATGTAGACCATCTATAAATAAAGTTAAAAATACCATAACCTGTTTGTGCACTGGAACTGTACAAATAGTCTAAAACAACTGCTCTTTGTTTCCTGTGCATTTTATACTCTCCAGAAATGCTGGCAGGCTGACAGTTAGCATAGCAAGTTTCAGCCAAGAGTGAAATTTCATGACCAACCTAGTATTTATCTCTCAATACTGAGTTTACACTTTCTGACAGCCCTTTAATCAGACCTGTGCAGATGGAGACTCTTCAATCCAATGTGCTAACATGCATTCAGGATGAGATGCTATGTATTTGCTGAAGTAATATCAATTTGGTGACAAAACATGGAAGCTACTTCCTTTGAAAACATGTTGAAACATCAGTATATCTTATGATAAACTCCTAAGTGTTGTGAGAAATTGGCATTCATTCTGTAAAGAATGTTTACAGTTCTATCCTCAAGGTTTTTGACAATTTCTTCTAGTTGAATGACCAAAATGATGCAGTGGAACACTGAAGTAAATAATACCTCAGCCAGACCATCATTTTATCTCTCGTTCACTCACTCTTCTGCCTCTTTTGTGTATTACACTTATCTGACATGACCACTGAATGCCATATTGGTGCCACATGCTCACATGTGTTTTAAGCTAGTCCACAATGTAGACCATCTATAAATAAAGTTAAAAATACCATAACCTGTTTGTGCACTGGAACTGTAAAAATAGTCTAAAACACATGCAGTTAGGTTTCTGCTCTATTTACACCTGGCATGTAAGTTACTCTATCATTTAATGGCTAATAGCCACGCATTAAGTTTTACTTCCTTAAACTTGCTCTCAATACCTTCCAACAATTAAGAAACAGTTTTGCCTCTCTATGGAATATTTTCTGTGATTTCATGCTGATTTTTTATTTCTAGAAACATTATCTTGAAAATAGGATTTTTTGTTTTGTAAAAGTTCATTTGGCGCTATTTTTTCCCTGCAACTGAAATTATAATTTTTGGCTTGTGATAGAGAAAACAATAGTATCAAAAACTGGGAGCAGAGAATTATAATTTAACAGTTCTTAAGAAACAAATCTCAGTTTTCATCTATGTTTTCTTTTGAACAAAATAGGGGAGTAAGTGGAGGCAGGTGCAAAGAATGGGAAAATACCCAAAATACTTAAAATAGAGGCACAATTTTTAAATTAAAACAGGTATTCAAAATTTCCCATGAAGTTTTATCTATTCTTCAATGTCTACTCTATATAGCCAGAGAAAAAGTATGATTACATCTTCAGAAACAAAATATGTTCAGCAGTTTCCACAACATAAAACATACACCTTGCCAGTAGAATAACCATTTTGGTTACTCTCCTTCTGCTTCTCACAGGATAATTCTACAGAAACATACAATGTTACACAAAGCCATTCAGAGGCAGTGTCCCACTGATTAGTTATACCTGGAGCCAATAGGTTTGGAGAACTTTGAACTCTCTTCACAGCTGTTAACATGACAGACATTGCAGCACGTTTGCGAGCACACCCACCGCTATCTGGAAGCACAAAACGACATAGACACAAGCCAGGACAAAGGAAGCAAGCACATGCAACACATTATATGGTGTGAGATGCCAAGTATACATTAAAAAACACATGCAGTTAGGAATTGCTCTATTTTATAAAACCCATATATTAGCAGAATACACTTTAAATTTTAGGAGCTCTTGATATCTAATTTTGTAAGTATTCAATAATTAATGCATTATGACAATATATGCACTATGGTTCCAGAAGACTTCTTCTGTATAGCTAAGGCTATGAGTTGAACTCATGAAGTCTGTGATTTCATGTGATCTCTGCAACTTTAGCCTTGCACTGCAGGACTTGAGCTTCCATGACTTTTTGTTTAGTCCTGCCCTTGTCCTGTCCATGACTGATAATAATTCACAACAAATACCTCACCAAGATGAAGGATTGAATGCTGCATAATATTTGACAATAATTAGCACAGTGAAGCCATTTTACTGTATTTTTCACAAGCCAGGCTTATGTTTTATTACATCACTCAGTGCTTTTGCACTGTACTTTGGATTTACAAAGAATATTTTCAACACAAGTGACAAAAATTGCTCATTCTTTCCATGGTAGGGAAGAGGAGGGTGGCTATTTCCCTGTCCTTATTCTGGCAACTATACTTAATGGAAGAGTGATGGTCTTCCCTCTGGAGCCCAGAAATATCCTGGCAGAAA